ACAACCCATATATAAAATTGAAGTACAAAGGTATCACCTATTCTTATAAGAATTTCTTCCTGTGGCCTGTGGCAGGAAGGCTAAGAATGATATAAGACACAGTGCAATAACAAGTATGAATGAATTTGGCACTATGAAAAGGAATATTCTATAAATATTTTTTATAGTTTATTATCGTCAACAACAGCTATATTGCAGGTTGCTTCCAACTGGCCTTTCTGGAAGTTATTGGGTTCAACAGTGTATGTCCTATGGCTGATATGATAACGATGATGATGATGATGATGATTGTCGTTAAACACAGACCCAAACGAAAGCAGATAAAAAGGAAGAGAGTGACTGTATATAAAATGACTGGTTTCACCAAGACCACTCTGATAGAAGAGCGAAGAAAAATCCCCATTCTCGAGAATAACAAATAGTTATACTATGATAATCCTGCCAAACGTTTCAAATTGAGAGAAAGAACTATTTTACATAATCTTATAATCCACTCCATAAAATATGACGAAATTCTGAGGTTGGTATCAAGACAATTTTAATGTTATTGAAATTTAAGCAAAGAAAAAATATTGTGATTTATAGCCGACGAAATGTAGCTGAATAAAAATATGTTTGGTAGCCAAATTCTGCTAGGGTAACAGCTATTTTTGATAGTGTAGGTATTATAAGAGGAACCTAACACGGTTTGTGGAAAATTTAGTTGTGAAATTGTAATAAAGCTATGCTAACATGGCTAAAAGAGTACAGAAGTTTAGTTCATTAATTATATGTCGTTTTTTAAGATATTTGTTTTCTTTGTTGTGCTTGAACGATAAGAAGATATGTTATACACCAATGTAATTCGTGTTCAGAGTTATATTATTTTTTGGGCCCAATAGGGCTGATGCTGATACAGAGCCGCGGAGGACTTAACAGGTTACCGGGGCTCCGGCTTGAAGTGCAGGAGTAGGAACGGGGTGGTTTTTAGTCAGCAAGAGTCTGACATTCCTTCTCGCCTCATCCAGGCGAGAGAAGTCATTGAATGATTTTCCCATTATAATAAGAGAGTAATAGAGAGTAATAGAATAATAAGAGAGAATTAAAAATAAGAGTCACATTATTTGAAAATGTCGTACTTACACATGGAATGTTGTGAACAATTAAGATATTAAATAACAAAAATATCTCACACACTATGCCCTGTGCACATACATAATTTTAGATATAGTAAGTTTTTCCGGTAGTAAATATATTTTCAAATAATCAAATTGTTGGAGAATGGAAGAAAAATTGTGATCGTTAAATGGAATTTAGAATCGAGTGTAATAGAATTTCTTCTGTACTGGTGGTGTAACTGGCGAAGTTGACTTCGAACTGCGACATGATATGTTTAATTTATACCTTAGATTGGATTAAATAGTCACTACATAAGTGGAAATCGAACCCTCGTGTTTAACAATCACATGAGACCATTATTACACCAATCTTCAATTCTACAATATTAAAAACAAAAAAGAAGAATTTTGCCTGTGAATTCATCTCTATTGTGACGTATTCAAACTATTTTACAAGAAACAGATTTCTTTATAGTTTCTCTGAAAAATTACAGCTGCTGTAATACTTTGATGCTCTCTCTTGTCAGATCTGAAGCTGAAAACTTTGATTAATAAACTTATTATCCCCTAGATTTGAATAACAATAACCTAAAGAAAAATCGATGTTATGAATTATATTTTCTTTTCGTGGATAATTAGTTTTTTTTTAATATATTTATATTGTTAGACGTCATATTTTATAAGTAGTATGAGATTGTATTTTTAGAAATCTTGACTTGAATGACTACTAGCATAGCATCGCTTTCATGATAGACTGATTGACTCGTCGGTTGAGTAATCGTGTGTGTGGCTGCCAACCAAGATGCTTTATATTCGAGTCTCTGCAACTGAGAAACGTGTTATTTGTTAGTTAGCTTAAAGTTTAAAATGACCAGTAGTGTAAATGACCTATAGTCAGCAAATAAACTTAAATGATAGTAAAAACTCGGAGCTGCGGTGACGTCTTTGGAGGTGTGGACTTCGCTGGGGCTGTGCACCACCTAGTGGGTTTTCGAAGCTCCAGCTCGAAGCAAGAGTAGGAAAAGGGAGTTTTTATAGTCAATAAGGATTGACGTTCTCTCTCACCTTACCCAAGGCAAGACAATGGGGATATCCAATGACTTCTCCCGCCTTGGGTAAGGCAAGAGAAGTCATTGGATGATATTCCCCCTTCAAAAAAAGCTAGTAGAAATAGACATAAGTTAAAATGATAACACAAACGACTTACTGGTTGGCGTTAACAAATTCGTTTTAATAACAAAGTTTAAAGACATCGAAGACGGGTATTCAAGTTTCAGGAAAAGCTGAAATATTCCTGAAATAAAGCTATCAGCCATAGATCATTGGCGAACAGATACATTATAACCTACTTTCCTCAATTGACTCACATCCGTTCGCGAGACTCTTCTAATGTATTTCTGTCTCCGTTTAGCAGAGGACAGTAATGTCATTGGACACTTCACGATCGCGTTGGATGGAAATATATTAGCAAGTAGTCTTGGGTTTAATTCCCAGACTATTAAGCGTTTCAGTTTTTCGGAATTTCTCGTAAGATATGGTATCCTCAACCAGGTCGAGGTCAATCTCCCTATATCAATTATTGTTGATTTTGCAGGTGCTGAACAACTCTCCAACCTGATGGAAAGGAGTTAGGTACCAGTACTTAAAAACGTTTATATTTTTTTTTTAGAAATTTTTGACGATTTTTGACGACGCAAGAACGACTGCTGACCAAAGAGTTTCTATGACAGATATTTAGGAATTTTTAGTAACTATAAGTTATAAATAATACATTCATAATATTTCTCATCATATGATTACAAACTTACTACCATGCAGACTTGAGTTGAACTCAAACAAAAATAGCCCTTACATATATCAACCTTAATGACTAATTTGAAAGAAACAGCTTGTCAATTATATTCTTGGTTGCCATCCAAATGTTTAATGAACATTATCATTGTTGTTCGTCTAATACTTTATCTCGTAAAAACGTCCATGTCAATGGTTCAGGCTGTTAGATGAGGTGTTATGTTATGATAGGTTTATTGCAGGGTGCTAATTAGAAATCATTATTAGTTTATCTATGGTAGAAGTTAAACGATTGTCTTGTTGAGAACCGAGAATATGACCTTAGGTTAGTAACTCTTAGATTTATAATGGGGATGATGACAGGGTATGAAAAAAAAATAGTCCGTAAGTTAGGAAATTAAAAAATATTAAATCTAAATAAGGTAGACGACTAATTTTTATTTTAATGTCCGTCTGGTAGATTATTTAAAAACATTAGACACGTATTTTTTATATTCTTACGTATACGAATAGTTTCGAAGATATAATGATTTGAAATGTCGCGTGATGTCACTTCTCAGTACATTTTATACTAAGAAATGACGTTTTAGCCCCCACTCCTAAACTTTGGATTCTTTTTATCTAAGTATTATTTTATTATACGACAAAATAAAAAATACGTGTCTAATATTTTTTTATTATCTAACTGATGGGCAAGTTTGAAACGTCAGTAATTTAATTGTCCGTCCATCCGTACGTCTGTCAGTAAAGCTAGGCACTCGTTCTAAAGTGTAGTTTAACGTGAGTTTGAAATCCCTTAGTCGATGGGAAGATTAGGGATGGTGATAAAATATGACTGCTTTCTACAGTCACCACCATGGCGTTAACCATGAATCACTAAGGTCTCAAATAGATTGGAGTTATAACGATTGAACTACTGTGACTATTTAAACTGTCAAACACCAAGCGGTCACCGGTGACCGCGACCTATTGTTCTTTAACTCGTCGAGTACCGTATTTATAGACACAATTAAAGAACAATAGGTTGCGGTCACCGGTGACCGCTTGGTGTTTGACAGTTTAATTGTGTCTATAAAACCGGTACTCGACGAGTTAAAATCGACATAATAATCTTCTTCTCCCTAACTACCTCCATTACATGAAACATTCTTATAATCTTTACCTACAAAATTTTAACAAAGTAACTGATAAAAATACCGCATCTCAAAATTAAATGTATTGATGATTTACTCAATGTCATGTTCTCGAACTACAAACGAAAGTAGGTCGTCACCACGAGTTATTTAGGTACAATCATAATAACAGGTAACAACTACACATCAAGTTACGCATATCCAGTGTATCATGGTCTAGCTTTGTATCATCTTTTCATACATTTAACGGTCAGTTTATACTGGTTACTCATACTTTCATGCGTAGCTATATAACAACCAGTTTATAATGGCCTCGCTTGGTATGACCTTGCCGTACATTTGAAGATCAATTTATACTGGTGATGTGTAATTCGATGTGTAGATACGTACACACATTGCTAAACGTGATTCGAGTATAGTATTGTAGCCATCTTGTATTTTATTAAGTCATATTTTACAGGTTTAATCTTTTGTGTAGGTAACAGTTTAATGCTCGAAAAGCTTGAAAATGCTAGTGTTATTATGATTTGTGTGTTTTGTATAGGGCTGGTTAGATTTGGGTGTAGCTTGCGTAAAGGACGGGAAAAAATTGGCTCTTTAATAGTTGGCATTATTCTATTCTAATCTTTAAATTAATGACCAAAACAGCCTGTTTAGTATAATTGCAGTTCTTAATCTAGAGCGACACTAAACATGAAAGAAGATTTTATCATACGTACTGCATATTTCCAGAAAAATATCTTATTCACCAGATCAACGACCCTCAAATATCACAATTTACACTACGTAGAATTAAAACTCCTCGCTGACTGGCCGTGACTCAATCTTTTACCTGACAGAAAAAAGTAAGACCGCTGTCAGATGACTCTTCATTAATGTCATGTCTAAATTATTGAATACAGTTTCTTATACAATATTTTTATAGAAAAAGACCAAAAAAATACATAAAAAATCATGTGAACCAAAAGGAAATACTACTATGATAACTCTCAGAGGAGTGATACTTGTTATGTTGAGAAGTGCCTTCATTGTTGCATTCCTCAGCATTCCTAACCCCATTGTGGCTTTCACGGGCTTCAAGAATTGGTCCAGAAGGGCAATATACCATAAAATCGACCTTTGCACTCAAGCTTGCTACAGTCAGATAATTCCTGGCCTCTACCTCAGCAATGCAAGAGCAGCCGCCGACAAAAATGTTCTCAGACGCCTCAATATCACCCACGTGCTCACGATTGAAGCACATCGCCTTCCAAAATCCACTTTTACAGATACCGACATCAGCACACTCTTCATTAGGGCCTACGACACTCCTCAAACCCATCTCCTGCCCTACTTCCCTATGGCCAACGCTTTCATCGATGAAGGACTGCAGAAGGGAAACGTGTTGGTGCACTGCCATTTCGGAGTATCCCGGTCCGCCACGCTCGTCATCGCCTATATCATGGAGAAGTACAAGCTGACGTTTGAGCAGGCATTCGTGTATGTAAGACAAAGGCGGAGGTTTATAAACCCAAACCCGGGGTTTGTCAGCCAGTTGCGGGAGTACCAGAGACTGAATTACGACGTGAATGGATTCTACAGGTTCGAAGCGTATATGAACGTGAATGCCCGAAAGCATAAATATAAGATAGCTTCCCTTGCCGCCGTCGTCGTGGGCATCCTCGTACCTCTTGCTGTGTTAGTCGGTTAAATTCACGTGGTAAGTCAGTTTTCACAAAAAAAGTGTTAAGGTCTTTGTAGAAACGGAATAAAAGTTAAACTAAAACACAAGACATGGATTTTTATTGCTTAACTCGTTGAGTACCGTCATTATAGACACAATTAAAGAACAATAGGTTGCGGTCACCGGTGTCCGCTCGGTGTTTGACAGTTTAAATAAGTCATCTTCAACAGCCTATAAATGCCCACTGCTGAGCAAAGCCTCTTCTCACACGGAGAAGGTTAAAGCATTAATCACCACGCTCGCTCAATGCGGGTTGGTGATTTCAAACTTATAATTAGAAATTTATAAGCCTAGGTTTCCTCACGATGTTTTCCTTCACCGTTTGTCAGTGGTGTCTGAATAATCTTAGAAAGTATATATAACTCGGAAAAAGTCACATTGGTACTTGCCGTTGGTAGGTTTCGAACCGGAACCTTCATGCATGAGAAGTAGGCGTTTTAAACCTCCGGGCCACCACGAGCTAAATAACTCAGTAGGTACCTACCTAAACCTGAAAGTTCACCGTTTTAATATATGATGTAGGAATAACTATAAAATTTCAGCAACACATTTTACTTGTGTAAAATTGATAATTCTTTCAGCGTCTTTTACACGGCTGAAGATATTTTTGGTTCCAACTGTTATTGGACGCGTAAACTATAAATTATTGAAATCACGCGCCGCGCCGTCAACTCACGCGCACGCAGGAAGTGCAATATTTATACGATATTCTTTCTATTGACCGCGAAATTGAAAATATCATATTGTGATAAATAAATAGCTAAAGAGGTGGTTTTGTTAATGAATTTTTTTATGAATGGTATGTTTTTTTAGTTGTTTTTTTTTGTTTTCAATGGTTTTATTGTAAACAATTTTGAAGTCTGCACCATCACTGAAACAGACAAGCAGACTGATAGCATATCTTGATTGTATTAGAGGTCTTCGAAAATGTAAGTAAAGTATACAATTTTCTTTTAGACTTATTAACAATACAATGGTTTTATTTACAATATCCTACAATTCTTACTATGAAAAGAAAGAAAGATCAAATCCCCATCACATGACCACAGCAGCTAATATCCTAGCCACCGTGCCAATCTTAATATCTCCATAGGAAATTATTGCGCAATATTACACTATGATTTTAAAACTACGTTAGTAGGCGCCATTTCGAAAACTTTAGCAGTGTGTGTACAATAATTTGTTGTAGTTAATAGGTAGTGCCAAGAGGAACGAATGTACAGCCATTTAATTCGTATTTATCGTACATTAACTTTTACCCGTGGCTTTATCCGCTGTCTGTAATACTCAAGCCCAGGTTTTATCCGTGGCTTTATCCACAAGAATTTAGTCTTATGTTTAATTTTAAGAGGAATAGTTGAGAGTAAGTCAATTTTAAAATTGTTTTAAAGGCGGCTAATCAGCGCCGCTTATGGAAATCCATAACACATACATATACAGATACATAACCTCATGCCTGTCTCGCATGGTAACACCAAAACATTTATAAGTACATTACCATCTTTTGGAGATTGGGGTTTGAGGATAGAAGATTTCTGAATGGAAGAGGATTTAGAAGGAAAAGAAACAATTATTTGATATAAGCATTCCCAAGTGAAGGCACGTGTATCATAAAGACGTAGCAAACAAACAAACTTCGGTTGTACATTTATAAATGCTAGTTGGGATTACATTAGCTATCGTTACACTAAATGTGCGAAATTTTTGAGAGCACTAGGTTTCTACCCACTAGTCTAGCGAGATACTCGTGGGCACAGCTGATATTTTTGGGTTTTCAAAGTAGATAATGTATCAACATAGATAATGTAACACATAATCTTGGATACCCACTCACCTACTTTAAAAAATATACTATGTCACATATTATTTGCCTTATGCAAGACAGAATAGCAGATGTTTAATATCAAGCACTTTTTACTAGTTATCATAATTGCGTTATGAGTTTCTTTTAACAAAAAACGATTCAGTAGCAAACGCCAGACGCAGTAATTCTAGACATTGTGTCATTTTTGTGAATTTCTCAGTAGTTGCACGGAGTTTGGATTTTTTTTTTAAGAAACGTTGCCCCACACTAGGGTTTTCTCCTGTGTAGTGGGTGCGTTTACAAACATACAATAAAATAAAATAAATAAAAAAATAAAAAAAAATAAAAAAGCCTTTATTTCCCAGTACCATAAATAATTACATAACTTTTTTTTTTTTTTACAAATAAGTATTACACTTGGGTGTGGGTCCCTCCTCGGGTGAAGGCCTCCTCCAGTTGTTTCCAATTTTCTCTGTCTTTGGCCATGGTTTGCCAGTCGTCTCCTGCAATTTCCCTTAGGTCATCAGCCCATCGTCTTTTTGGTTTGCCTACTTTTCTTTTACCTGTAGGCCCTCTCCACTTTGTGGTTTTGATTGTCCATCTGTCGTCCTTATACCGTGCTACATGTCCAGCCCATTGCCATTTCAGTTTTAGAGCTTGGTTCAGGGCATCGGTTACTTTTGTTCTTTGTCTTATTTCCTCGCTTCTGACTTTGTATATTTTTCTTATGTTTAACATACTTCTCTCCATAGCCCTTTGTGTAGTTAGGATCTTTTGTTTAGCTTTTGCCGTAAATACCCAAGTTTGGCAGCCGTACAGCAGGCAGGGCAGTATACAAGTATCTATAACTGTTTTCTTCATGCATATTGTGTAGTCTCCTTTTAGGATTTCTTTGAGAGCCCAAAACTTCTTCCATGTTATATTGGCTCTCCTTCCAACTTCGTCTTCGTTGTTTGTTTTATTAAACGATACTTGTTTACCCAAATAAATGTAGTTGTCGACATATTCTATTGTATTTTCTCTTATGATGATAGGCTTTTTCACGCTGTTTGTCATTATTTTGGTTTTACTAGCATTCATTTCCAAGCCCACTTCGTAACCTGCTTCGTCAAGTGAGCATAGCATTTCTTGAAGGTCTTTTCGCGATGCTGACATTATAACTATGTCATCTGCAAATCTTAAATGATTTAAATAGCGGTTGTTAATGTTAATACCTTTTGATTTCCAATCTAACTTCTGAAATATGTTTTCCAAAACAGCAATAAATAATTTGGGCGACAATGGATCACCTTGTCTAACTCCCTATTGTAACAAACATACAATATCACATACAAATGACACCCAGACCCGGAACAACAATCTGTGGATCACACAAAGAGTTGTTCCGTGCGGGAATCGAACCCGCGACACGTTGCGCGGCAGCCAGTTGCCCAGCCACCGCGCCAACCGTGCAGTCATTTGTGCCTGGTATATGGCAATAGGCTCACCCCCTTACATGAGACTCATGAGAATCATGAACTAAAGAGCGAAAAGTGAGTGTTGTATTGTACACCGACATTATCCGTGGGATAAAAAGTAGCATATGCGTTCCAGACCATAATGTACACCTGTTGCAAATTTCATCCTTATCCCTTCAGGCGTTTTGACGTGTTTGAATGACACACACACACAAAACTAATAAACTTTCTCATCTTAATATTAATAAGAAAAGTAAGATAAATTTTTGCCCATAATAATGTACAACCTGGTTGCCTTCAAGGCCCGAGTGAACAGGTTGCTTATGGGCAGATGTGCTCCATCGTAGACCGCATCATCGCATACCACCAGGTGAAATAGCGATCAAATAAAGTCCATGCCGTATAAAAAATGTTTCTAGTATGTCCTTATGATAATCAAGTGAGACGATAGGTACTATGGTATCTTGAATCTCAACTGGGACTCAAATGAGACTGACTCAAATGACTCAAATCTCTGATAGTAGCGGTCCACCTAACCTCACGCCTGTCTCCTATGGGGGCATAGACTATGGAACGCTAATTGCTACGATACATCCGCCCCTAAGAAAACCCACTGAATCTGGTCGATATATGTCCGTTTAGGGCGCCCCTACGGACTTCTTTCATAAATCTGCTTTTATCCATCCTTTCTACAGCATCGGTCCAGCAATCCTTGGTATTTATATCTACCAAAAAAATTATTACTCTTTTCTCAATTTTACAATCGAAATCATTTCTTCAACTAAAAACTAAAACAGTTCTTTACTCAACCTTGGCACGAATGGGCCGGCTCGACCAGAGTGATACCACGGCCTCACAGAAAACCGACGTGAAGCAACGCTTGCGTTGTGTTTCGTCGTGTGAGTGAGGTTACCGGAGGCCTAATTACCTTCCCCTTCCCCAATCTCCCCAATCCCTGAATCCCCAACGATCCTCAAACTCCTAACCCCCTAAAAGCCGGTGACGCACTTGTAACGCCTCTGGTGTTCCAGGTGTCCATGGGCAACGCCGATTGCTTACCATCAGGTGATCCGTCTGCTCGTTTACCAGATTATGCCATAAAAAAAACTTTCAAAGCTAACAATTCATTATTGTATATCCATACAGTGAATAAGAGATGAGAACATAGCGTAGAGTTGCAAAGCTACTAGACAACACCTGCGACCTCTATGTATATTTAGCTGGACAGAAATAATTCGCCAATTAATGCACAGACACACACCGACACACGCCGATAACAAACGAACGAACGAAACTTTCTGTTTTCAAGGTTCGTTTCATGATTTCTTTATAATATTTTCTTCTTTAAACGTTTTCTTGTGTAAACTTCAAAAATAAGTCAATCCTTTATTAAACGAAAGTGTATTTTATACTTTCTTTTACGGTACAATGTGGAGCGATTAAATATTCGACTAGATTGCGACTAGATCGAAACTGAAACGAATTGATCCGACAGCCAACCAAATTTATCGACATAACCCAAAGGATTATGTCGATAAATTTGGTTTGGTTGACCCAGTAAGCTGAAGTGGCAGTGGGCCGATCACATTTGTCGAAGAACCATTAACAGTTGGGATAAACGTGTTTTAGAGTGGAGACCGCGTCTAGACAAACGTAGTATAAGGCGCCCTCCAGCTAGTTGAAGTGACGACATTCGCAAGGTGGCT